TTGGCTCCCTAGCTTACTTTGTAAGAGAAATCATCTAAAAGAAACTTACACTGCATAAATACAGAATCAAAAACCAAGACAAACGTATGCAGTTGCAAAATGGCCATTTATTGCCTACAGGGAAGGAGAGGGAAGGAGAAATGGAGAAGTACACAGGTGCAAGGAAACAAGCATATATTTAGCCCTATACATCATGTGTGAGCAGTACCCAATCTCCAAAATGGAAAAAGTTTTTTGTCATCTGACAGTAGTTAATGTTCTTAAGCACCTCCCTTCTGAGCTGCCACAAGATATAAAAGGCAGGACTGCTTTGTAGTCAATGTTCACATTAATGAAAAGATACTACCATCTAACTGTGTCCTTTTACACACACATTTTGTACAGTGTCTCTTGTGAAAAATATCTCAGCTGAGCAGTTTGGTCAAGATTCAGACTCATCAATTGGTTAATAAATAGAAAAATAAAGCAGCTGGTGATTTTGTCAGAGAGAATGTGTTCAATAAGAATAGAACAACTTTCTCCAGGGATGACAGACAGTATTAAATGTTTAGAGCACTATAGAATCAGTCTATTAAACATTAAACACTAGCAAGCTACAATTATATATAGAACTTACTTAAATCATCTAATTTAAAAAAGGAAACCTTAGATTTTAAACTGCTTATTGGAACACAGTAACAAATTGATTTCATGTTTGGCTTTTTCTTCAGACAAAATCAAAGTAAATAATCCAAAACAGAATTTATTTTGGAATAGCATTAACAGAAAATATCAAAAGTGTTCAAGTGAAAAACTGCTAAACATCTTGCTCAATTTTAAAAATTAAGCAAATCATGTGCTTTGCTTTCTGACCATTAGAATTAGTTACAAAAACATTTTATAGGACATAAAATGAATAAAATGCATGCAAAACAATGAATTAGTTAATTTAATGCCAGGTAATGAAAATAAGTGGACTCTTCCCTACTCAAATGATAAATCAAGTAGAAGAGTAGACAGCCACATGGAAAATTAGTTGGCACTTATTTGGTTCAAAGAAATCACAACAGAAGATATAAATTAATCCATAGTGAATTTGACCAAACATCTGGGCCCTTTCAAAGTGAAAACGTGAGGGGAGACAACCTCAATATTGTCCCACTTCAGACGAAAAAGCTGAAACATTCGTCTTTCTTGAAATACTGCAAATACTTTACTGAACTCTTTAACTCAGCTTCTTTTTGATGAAAGAATTGTTTGCATTTGGACAACTGTACCAATGCCCAAAGTGCACTTTTCAGTGCTGCTGGTGTTTTAAGAAATTTGCCACTCACAACACTGAACAATTCCAGATCCAGTGTGCCATTACACAGCCATCCAAACCACCCCACCCCAAAAGCTGGCAGAGCACCGCTCAGGAATTTCACAAGGAAATATATTTTTAGCAAGTCAAGCACAGAGAAAAGACAATATAGTTTTTGAATAAATATAAACCCAGATAATGTATCACTCACTGCATCAAGACTGAAACAAGTAGTAGGTTACCAAGCCTGTTGAGTAAGAAGCAAAGCCACTGTTTGACACATCAATGCTGAGCCAATTATGTGAGTTCAGATAACTACAGGCAAATTAAACAAATGTGGTATATACAATTGATAACTTTAAGGAAAACATCAGTAATTTAAAATTAACACAAAACTGAAATGAGCCAGAAAGGACCATTCTGAAAAGACTGTCATGATTTTTATGCTTTAGAGTTAAAAATAACAGACACAGAAATAGAAATTTATAAGGGTGACTGTAACAAAATAAGTAGTAAAAGGAGCCAAAGTATGCCTTCTAAAAGATTCCAAAAGTCAAATGTACCGCGCTAGCATGCCAAAAGAGTCATATCACTTGGCACTTACATGCTCTCAACATTAAGTTATTTCTGATGACACTTCTAATTTTAATCCAACACTATTCAATTTGTATGATGTGCCATAAAAAAATTAACATTTAACAGACATGTTCTTAATTCATTTGCTCTGAGAGTAAAACTCTTTTATTTAAAATATTCTATTATTTCAATGTCATGTTTGATGAATGAAAATTCTAACATGCTTATTTTCCTTTGGTCTAAGAATTCAAATCTAACTAATCTTATAACAAAATATATTTCTTGTTATTTTCCTATTTCTTCCTTTAGGACTTTTGATTTAACAAAGAAATTTGCATAAAGAAGATATTTGGCTAAAACAAAAATAGGCATGCTCTCCCTTACCTCCTTCTTGAAAGTCATTGTTTTGTTTTGCTTTGCTTTCTTCTTTCCTTCTGTGGCTCTTGTTCAGAACATCCTGCAGTGATTGATGTAAGGGCTTTCTTTTTATCTTTACCTTTTAGGTGGCAATTATGAAAGATGCCCTGTGCATCCTAGTCTTAAACAGATTACAACTTTGGTAAGTGAGCCAGTTTAAAGATATACTAATTTTTAATATGAATTTGGTGATCATGATGACATTACAAAATTATAATTGCCCAAAGCAACCATAAAAGCTCCCATCTATCTACACATTCAGTTGAAGTTCCTAGTTTAGAAAAATAATTCCAACTTTTCTAGTTAATTTGCTACCTGACAGAGTTATACAAATGTCATATAATTCAAAAGGAAAAGTGGTAAACAAACCTCAACACATAAGAAAGGTGATTTTGTAAGAAGTGAGGGTATTCACACAAGAGAAAAGGCGTACAAATGTGAAAATTCACATTTCTGTCAAAACAGATGCATGACTGTCACTTAGAAACATGCCATAAAGCCTGTGTCTGCCATAAAACCATTACTCTAGCAAAACCTGGTATTTTTCCATGACTGCAGCTACTATCAGTCAGCAAATTTTTTCAAAGCTATTCAAATATATCAAACTTAGAATATAAAGCTTAGAATCAAGTAAGTTTTGGGGCAGAGTCAATTTTTAATACTAGAAAATTGTATTAGGAATGACAAACCATATACTGTACCTCTGGTTCCTTCCAAGAACTTATCTAACCTATTTCTCCTTATGCTTTCTCTACTTCATAGTGTTTTATATTGGAAGCATAGGTGGCATTAGTGAATTTGACAAATACTAGTTTTTACCCATTTACAATAACATACTTAGGAGGCAGAATTTTTAAATGGAATACAACATATGTTTGCCCATGTTCCAGTTTTCATTTACTAATGTAATCTGTCATTAAATCAAGTGATATGAGTCTTAAGATATTATTCAACTTTCTCCCTTTCATCTCTGTGATTTAATACATAACTTTTAAGACATCAAAAACAGGAACAAATAAACATAGCTTTATATTTTCTGCAAACTACAACACTAAAATACAGTGGCTTTTTAAATACATTCACACAAGATGCTTATCAGTAAAATTAAATATCTGTCTATGAACATCAGAAAAGTAATTTGAAAAGAAAGAGCTTGGAAAAGGCAAATGGGAGGGGGAGGAAAGCTGGTCTCAGAACCCATTGTGCCATACCTGACTTTAACATGTGATATTCAAATGAACGTTCACACACCTTACGTTAAAGAAATGAAACAAAAATATTCAGCTATGTCGTACAAAAAATTTTTTACATAAAACATCATAAATCTCGAACAAATTTACTATATCTGAATTCTAAAAAGTTGCCTATAGAATGGTGCTGGGATCCTGTTCTCTGCTTGCTTTTAGGCAGTGCTGTTGCTTAAAAGTTGACACCAGGCACAATATTTTAAAACAAAGTCAACAAGCAAGGAGCAGTAAGTGAATTTGAGCCTTTTTCAGATGTCAGTCCTGAGGATGCTGCAATATTCCCCATCAAAATATGTAAAGCTATGAGGCAGATACTGATGCCTGAGAGAGTGGGTGACTTGACATGCACTTGTATGACTGATAATGGCAAACAGTGCAGTTTTCCCTTCTTCAAACAACACTGTTTTAATAAACTTAAGAACATCTCAGTCCTTAAGTATCAGAAATCATGTTTAAGTTTCTAAAAAATTATCATAACCTTAAAATGCCCAAATTTTTTATGCTCACATAAAATATGCAGCAGCCCAATGGCACAGACTAACTTATTCTGAGAACTAGAAAGTGTATGAGCATATATATTTTACTTTTCCTGAATATATACTGTACGTCATTCACCTCTTCCTTTTGGCTTCTTGCTGCCAAAGTTCCAAATGGCATGCATTTTAACAAGACAATGCTGAGGACAGCAGCTCTTCTGATCATCTGAACTGGCAGCTCAAAACAGATACCACTCCTTTTACAAAGGGAACAGAGGGTGAAGGGTGTTGTGAAATTTGGGCAGTGGGCTAAAGGGAAACCGTGCACATGAAATTTGGGTTACCATGCCCCAAGTGTGTGCGCCACCCAAAAATAACACAATTACCTACTTCAACAAAGCTACTACCAACATTTACTAAAACCACATTAAAAGTACACAGGATAATGACTGGTTTGAAAGAGTGCATTTGGAAGCAGAGAGAACCCAATTACACACCTTCCTGCAACAGAGTGCCTCAATCATACACAAAATAAACTTAAGCTGTTTACAATGTTTCCCAATTTTTTTTTTATTTTCCCTCTACATTTAACTATTAAAAAAGTTTTTTTATTAATAAATGGGCTCCTCTGTGATTCATATACAATCATAAGTGAACTTTAAATTCCATTTTATACAAATATCTCAAAAATATTGGGAGTGAAGTATGGTAGGAAATATTGCTCACATTGCTAAATAACATGCGTATATGAAAGGAGGAAAATGTTTTGTTAGTGCATATACCTCCCTGCAGAAAACCCACCCAAAATAAAAAAGCCAAAATAAAACATACAGTAGCTGATTACAAAAAAAAGGTAATGTCCACAAAATTAAGTTTTTCACGCTATTCTACTTTCCAGTACTATGCTTCAATTTGCATGGCTAGATGTTGGATGCTTGAGGTATATAAGAAGGGGTACCTGCACATGGAGGAAATCTGTTGTCTTAAGGGTTGTTTTTTTTGTTTTTATTCTGATACTTTAAGATACTTAAAAGAGTATTTTATTTACAACAAATTTCACTGAACTACAACGACATTCCAATTATAATAGATGACAAACAACGCCTCTATCACTAGGCACTTTTAAAGGGGAATTTAGGGTTTAGGCTTCACAGAACCTTTCTGATACAATCTCAAACATGTTACTTATTACATCATCCCACCACCCTCATTCCACTAAAATTACCCTTTAGGGAAATATTTATCATATATAGCCTGATTGATTTATGCAAGAAATTAGTATGAAATGACCAAATGAAATGCATCATTTAATATTAATAAAACAAGCTAGCATGTCAGGTTTGAGAGAGGAGACAAATTGTATATATTTAAAACTAATTAAATAATTTAGATTTGACTTATACTTTATATAATTAGTGAGACACAAATATAGGATATTTCTTTTAAAATTTCATTCACATACTGGAAAATTTGTTCAAAATATCACACTTTGAGACTAGAAACAGTAAAGTGCATGAAAAGTTTAAAATATAAATTTCAGAAAATTCTTATAGCAGCAAAAAAGCAGAATAAAGAAAAACTTAAAAACACAGACACAACCTTTTCCTGTTATTGTGCCATAATTAACATCAAATAGGCAACCAATTTTTTTCCCCGGAAAGCAGTGTCATGTTCACTGCCTTTTGAGCCACCGATTTTAAAATGGCCTCTCCTGGGCACAAAAAAAAAAAAAAAAAAGCTAACATATCTAAAGGCATCAACAATTGGGAATAAACCAGTAGCTTCTTAATTCAACCCTGACAGACAATAGAAATAAAGATTAAAAGCATATGATGGCCATTTGGCAGCTAGAGTCCGGAAAAATGATCCACAGTTTTCAACTACTGCCCTCAAATCTATTTTTTCACTCCTTCAAATCTTTTCCACTGTTATCTGAACAACCCCAAACCAACAGACACTTACTTACTTGGGGAAACACATGAAATATTTGTATGGCTTTCCCCTTCTGAAATTCTGATCAGGTCTTCTTTTAGCAGTTTGATAAACATTTGACTATAATGGCAAAAAATGATATAGATCATATAGTATCTTTTTCCTACACAAAGGTAGACAAGAATATGAAAAATATCAGACACAAATTTTGTGGGCATTTTAAATATACCAAATTCTATTTTTAAAATGTGTGTTAGTAGATTACTTGCTATTTCTCTACAATGAACTGAAGAGACAAGCTTGGAATACTTCTAAAAAGGGTATAACTAAACAGGGAAACAAAAAAAGTGATTCCTCAAAGCAACCAGTGAATCTCCAACAAACTGTCATGTGCTATTAGATGCTTGATTTTGAAGGCATATCGTGCAATCATCTTTTAATTTCTCAAAATTTTCTTACACCTAGAGGTTATATTATAGTTTATGTACAGATCAAGAATATTTAAGTGCTTTGTTAATGTGCAAATAACTTGGGCAGCCAAAAGTCAATTTATCATAAAGAAAAACAATTTCAAGAAATTTTTCCCTGCAAGGTATGCCATCATTCAATTTAAAATTTATATTTATAATTTTTAAAAATTTCCTTCTATGCAATAATTTGCTCATTTGAAACCATTCATAAAAATGTGTTTTAAGAAAGCAAATACACTGTTCTTGGGCTTCAAATTGGTGATTTATCAATTATGAGTACTGACAATATAATTATGAAGAAAGTCCAATTTAAAAACATGTTAAATTAAAATTTTGGATAGTACTATTCTGTTTCCAGCCCTAGTGCCAAATGATATCAGTATGCACAAAAATGTACAAAGTCTTATAGCAAACACATAATGAAAGGAACCTGAAGAAGCAGCTTTAGGATGGCCATACTTCACTCCTACATACTTTGATTTACAACTGTACAGGTCCATAGCAACAGGTCCCCGTCTTTGCGGGGCAGTACTCCACTACCTCCGATTAGGCAAATGAACACCATTGACAAGAGGCAGGATTGGAGGGTGGAGTTCAAGTTGTGTTAACAGTGAGAAGTGGTCTGAAGGGATGTGAGGGTGTGGACACCCAGTGATGTTGTTCTCAACCAGCCATTGAGGATCTAAAGGCCCCAGGACACCAAGCACGTTCATATGAGTCTTGGAATAGAAAATGTAGTCAATCACACCCTGAAAAAAGATTAAACAAAAAGAAAGAAAAACAACATGATTACAAAAAAAAGCTACATATAAAGAACAATCCATAATTTATAAAAACCAAATAATCAAGAAAATTGTATTTCTGGTACCTATTATCTTGGTAAACAAGACTCAAATCTTTAATGTGAATTACACTAAATCAAGACAGCTCAGCATTTGTGCATTAAGTGATAAACTGAGAAGCTGAACATAGCAAATTATGTCTAAGCAAATTTAGAATGAATTGGCCTGTTTGGCTTTATAAAACCTAATGTATCAGTATACATTTTACAGAAATTTCACTGTCAATGAAGAAAAGTAGAAACTAATTTTTATATAAACAGGCAGTGAAAAGACAGAACTCAATTTCCTTTCATAAGAACTTGCATTACTTTCAATTATTTACACACTGAGACAACCAAACACACTCAAAGCCACTATAAAGCATGTTTCCAGACTTATAATTCAGTTTGCCCAGATTTGTTACATACAAACTAGTTACATTTAACTGTTTCACTGTTCTTTAATTTAAAAAGAAGGAATACTAGTTTTTCACAAATCCTAATATACTATGCATTCTGATTTCCTTGCTATATAAGATTACTTAAATAAAAAATCATTTAGCAGGGACTCATAGATAGCAGCTATTTCTTTTAATGTTAGATGATTTATTCAAAACCAATGTGGGTTTGACTATTCCAGACTGTGTATATAAGACAGCAAAGCCAAATTTCTTGCCTAACAGTTATTATGTAAATCAAGACAGCAAAAACTAAATTAGGGAAAAATATTTCTACCCTTGAAATTACCTATTCCCAAATGTTATACAAGTAGTGACATAGTGGCACATGATTACAATCCACCACTCAAGAAGGTGAGGCAGAAGGACTGCCATAAGTTTGAGACCAGCATGGGCTACATAGTGAGTTCAGGTCCAGCTTGGATGTGCAGCAAGACAGCCAAAAAGACAAATACTATACCTAATTAAATTTGATCTTATTCACAAAGAATGTAATGGATTAATCCAAAAACAAGATCCAAAGATTTTTTAACTTTTTTGATTCAGTTTCTTTTTTAAAAGGCTAGTGTGGGAAAATATATTGTGTATGTTAGTAAAAACTACCCTATATAAATCTGTAGGACTTGACAAAAAAAAAAAAAAAAAATCAAAGAGCAGAGCAAATATTATACTAGCCTTTGTTTATTTAAAAGAATGAGACAGAAATTATAAATTTTGTAAAGTAACAGAGAAAGGAGTATTACCCGACATAATAGAGAGCTGTCTTTCCTCTTTTCATTAAATGATCCATAGAAAAAATAAATAAATGATTCATGCTGCTAGACTGGCTGTGGACATGGAATAAGCAGCAGCAGCAGGTTTGAATTAGGTTTATTAAGCTAACCTGGTCTGCAAGTCATGTTGAGAAAGGTAATTCTCCTAACTGCTTATCCTTCACCCCAAACCATATCTAGATTAAATGACTCTGAATTCTAAACACCATTTACTCAACAAACAAGAAAGCAAAAAATGTTCAACCAACTGAAACATCTCAATGAAACAACAGCAGAATACTGTGTTGGGATCTGTATTTAATAGTCATCACATGACATTTTATACTTGATGTATCTATTCTTTTGTACTGACTACCTCTAACTCTAGGATGGCATTTAGTACATAAAATATTTGTATAAACCTGGAAAGTTCACTGTCTATTGCTTGTACTAAAAGCGTAATTCTCGAGTCAGATGGGCCCTTCTTTAGCCATTCCATCTCATCCATCCTCTCATTCACTGATCCAGCAAGCCTATGTCTCTTCTATATTTGCCTCTTTCCCAGTCATTTCTAGCTCTCACCTATCTTATCCTACCCAAATATCACATGCACTCTGAACCAGGCATCTCTGATCTTTTAACTATATTTCTTTAAACTATGTAAGTGACACACTATGATTTTTGATTCAATCATTAATATGTATATAATGAGGAAACATCAACGAAGAATTCTATTTTATATTTTATGTATTTAGTACAGGGTCTACAGGGTCTCACTCCATAGATCAGACTCATATGGATTCTCCTGTTTTCAGCCTTCCAAGCACAGGGATTACAGGTGTGCACCACCACACCCAGTCTCAACTGCTGTCTCAGCATGCCCCGGTTCAAACCCTGGCCACCGTGCTATGCCTAAGAAGGCACTTTAGTCTTCTGAACTATCTAGCCAGCCCTAACAAAGAATTTTAGAACTATTCAGATGACTGAAGATGGGTACATTAACATATAAAATTTTGTTTCTCTGATTTTTGCCTTACAAAGAAAAGATAACCTTTAGAGAAAAAGCAAGGAAAAATAAACTGTCATTCAATGTAGAAATGTTTTTTACGCTTACACGAAAACAGTGGCATGTTAGAGTTAGCTAGTACCAATTACCTTTGTACCCCTTTCCATTCACTGCATTCAAAGGCATCGTGTTGGAAGCTTGCAATCTACAGCAGCAGAAGTACTTAAATCACAGAAATCAGCAAATGATGCAAATCAGGGCTTCTTTTCCCAGAAAGTTAGCTATTAAGTATCTACCAGCATATCACTACAAGAGTGACTGAAACAAATTGAACATCACTGAATAAAATTACCTGCTTGCAAAAATACTAAGTAAGATTGAACTTATAAGCAACTTTCTCCCACTTCCTGTCTGTGACAGCCACTTAATAAAGTTAATACACCTTTCTATTTCCTCTTATTTGTTTTTTTGGAAAGAAGGATATTGGAGCTGTAAATTTTTTGGTTTTGTACTAAATCCTCTCTTGACTTCTTTTACCAAACCACTTTCTAAGATTGCCATATTTGGGGGATAATATATTAATTAGTATAGATGCTTAAAATGTCAGAGTGTCAAACAGAGGTAAAGTAACAGGAATACTCCATATAGATAAAAATGACCAAAACACTGGCATTGGTAAAGTGATCACAAAAAGCAACCACAATCACTCTTTTTAAAAAATAGCTTGTCATGTACAATGGGCCATTCAATTTTTTTTTCTTATTTTGTAAAAAAAAAAGTATCTTTTCCTGTTTTAAAGCTTCAGTGTTCCACTACATGGGAATGCATCAGTATGACTACATGGATATAAAATAGACGTAAATTTAATTGTCTATAATTAACTACATGCCTGAAAGAAACTTAAAAAATTTTAAAGATCAATAGAAAGTACTAAGAAATTTGACAAAATACTATACAAATTCTTTCAAAGTAAACTTAGCTATATTAGGTGCTTATTATTTGGAAGACTGTTAAAAGTTAGGGATGGTACAGACAGGTGAAGAATAATTATATCATTATACACTCAAGTGAATTTTTTTCTCTTTTGGTCTTTTTGAGACAGACACTGTGTAGTGCAGGCTGACCCTGAACTCACTTTGCAGCCCAGGCCGTCCTAAACTTACAAGGATGTTTTTACCTCCGACTCCCAAATCCTGGGATTACAGGTGTGCATCACTTGAATGACTTAAAACAGTGCATTGCGCATAGTAAGCATTTCGGTGTACGTACCAGTATTATTTGAACTTTTAAGAAATGAAATTACAAAGAGAATTCTCAAGAGAACAATAATAACCATAACCTAACAAAATGCCTTGCTTTGGTATATATGTACACTAGACATTTTAAGAACTTAAAAATTCTTGGGGCTGGGGAGATGGCTCAGTGGAATAAGCGCTTCCCTGGCAAGCGCAAGGGCCTGAGTTCAATCCCCGGTTCTGCCAAAAAAAAAAAAAAAAAGAACTTAATTCTTGAAGGTTATATAATTAATTATAAGGACTGAGTCCCTATAATGAATATTTTATCTAAAATGTAGCAATAAACTTAATAAAAAGAAATTCAGAGGTTTTTATTGGTCACATGCTTGTATATGTAATTTCTATATCAGCCCAGAGCTGCTACTCACTTTGAAATCAAAGGTGTAATTGGTGTAAGGCATCAAGTTATTTTCATAGGCGCTCTTAAGTTGGAAGCCATGTGTGATTCTCCCTTCTGAGCTTCCATTCTTTCCATTGCAGCTGAAGTTCATAAGACACTCATTGTACCTTAGTTCCTTGAAGTCTTTATGGTTGTCAGCTACTCCTCCATTGCTTAAATATTCCACAACACCTAGCGGAATAAAGTAAGGATCACTATCATTTAGTATTTTGTCCTTATACAAGGCTATAAGCTAAGACCTGTTACCTGTTACCAAATTGGAAGTACCAGGCTCAGAGTGGTTTATTAGATTGAACCTTATGAAACTGTCTTTTTTGTTACTTTAAAAAGTCAAGTATCAGCTGGGCATGATGAGATACACCTATAATCCCAGCACACAGAGAAGCTGAGCAAGAGAACTGCAAGTCTGAGTCCAACCTGGAAAATTTAGCAACTTAATAAACCCTATCTCAAAATAAATAAAAACCTAAGGATACAACACACTGTAAAGACTGTTAATTCCCACTACCACCAAAAAATAATAATATATATAAGGAGACAAACCAAAAACAAAAAGCCTCCAAATCCTTTCAGCTTTCCCAAAGTTGATCCACATGGAACCAAACAGAGAGAAACCAAAGATCACACAAGCAAAGTATTCCCCGTGTTATCAGGGCAGATAACAAAGCAGATCAATAAGGCATTTGGAAAGCACACAGAAGATATGAGTAATAAGATATTGGGAAAATAAACAAAATAATCAGTGAGTATATAGAAGACACTCGTAAAATTTTAGCAGAGCTAAACAAAATGATACAAAAGTGCAGATGACCTGCATAGAAAAAGTTAGAATACATAAGAAGAGTCCAAACAGAAATTCAGGAGATAAAAAATTTTATTGGAAGTATGGGCAGCAGAAGTAACCAATGTAAGGACTGAATGTCAAAACTAGAAGATAGTGAGCCAGCAAGACAGCTCAGTGGACGAAAGCACCTGCATAGGGAAGCTTAAGAAAGCTCAGGAACCATAATTCGATCCCTGGCACCACATGCCATGCCAGCCACACCCCCAGTGTGGGCTGAGCTGGTCAGAGACCCAGTATAATGGTGCATGCCTATAATCCCAGCACTGGGAAGGCTGAAAGCAGGAAGATCACCATAAGTCCAAGCCACACAGTGAGACCCTGCAACAACCAAATACATAAAAAAGACCTAGAAGATAGGGCTCCTGACAATATATGATTGAGGAGAGATACCTTCAAAATAATAAGAGAATTGTGAAAAAATGCATTCAACAGCTCCAAGATGATGCAAAGAAGACTAATCTAAGATTAATTGGAGTTAGTAGAAAAATCAGAAGATAGAACAACCATAAAAATACTTACTAAAATGACAGTAGAAAATTTCAAATTAATGGAAAAGAATTTACTGTACAGATAAGTGAGGTATATGCACCACAAATAATCATGATGGCAAAAGAGTCTCTCCAAGACACATCATAATAAAAAATCCTGGAAGTCCAACACAAGAACAGAACCTTAAAAGTGACTATAGAAAA